AAAAAAAAAAAAAAAAAAAAAAAAAAAAAACTGGAAAATCAATGATTGGCGACTTGGAAGTTCAACTTAGAAGAATTGATATTCTCTCTTATATAATATAGTGGTTTTGATAAGAATTATAATTAGGTGGTTATTCCAGTCGTATTAATTTATCAGGACTGTTGATTTGACCATTTGTCATATAGAAACACAATCAGATGAACAAAAACATGAGGTCACAGATGAAGAGAGGACATGAAGATTTTGTAGATGTTTTATCCTTTAATCACATGCGATTGTATTCTAACAAATATTTAAAGAAAAGAATTCACAAAGAAAATGGGAAAAGGGAAAGCAAGCAAATATAATAGATAACGAAGATTTCTGTGGTACTCACAACAGGGAGCATATAAGATAAGACATTAAAATCCTGTTTGTGTAGAATTTGGCACGAAGCTCGCAAGACATTATTCAGAGGGCGTGGTGTCTCCTCAGATTTTGCAGCAAGGAAGAGTGCAGATGTGGCAATCAACTGCAACAGAGGCGAGTAAACAAAATAAACCAATTAATGCAACATAATTACCTCATGCAATAAGGATGCAAATACAATCAATATGACGACTTTGGCATATCCTATCGTTACTGCTAAAATGAGATGAGAAAAGAAAACAGTTATCAAATATGCAGTTTCGTTCCACAAAGAGTTCAGATAAAACAGAAGATGGGGAATGGGAAGAGAACAGAAAAGAGTAATTCTCAAATCTAAATCATTAACAACAGCAACAAATGTAGGCAGCACAAAAGTATAACTCTCTCCAAAGGAATTTCAGTAACATAGAAATCAATCACAAACTTAAATGCTTCTAATATCCAAATGGTCATCAACTATAGAACTTAAAAGTAAACTATACTTCAAGAATAATGATGGATGTGGACATTACTCTTCCGGACACTCCGAATCCTTCTAAGGAAAAGAACTTACAAATCTATCATGACAAGCGTGTGACCTTCGAATAAAAAACCGATGGCATAGAATCATTGCAGTGCCAATGGTAGTCTGTGGTCTGCAAGAAACAATGACGCGTTAATAACTCCACAAGACCCACAAAGGGGGGAAACTTCAAATATTGCTTTATTTAAAAATTGATAAATTAAGGCATTCACTGAACTTAGAAATGATAACAGAGATTTAGATTACTTACAACTCAAGCTGCAAACCTAGACTCTGAAGGAAGGCACAGTATGTGTACCGCAGATGTGTTTCACGTACTGTATCAATACCATCTTTTCTTGAAGGTGAACATCTCTCAATCTCATCCCTGGTCATAAAGAAAGGCTCATCCTCTTCCATTATTGAGCGACTGCGTTTACAGCTGGCAGACGTAGAGACATCGTTGTTGGATCTTGGAGGAGGATGGACCAAATTGCTATAGATTGAAGGTCCATTAACATATGCCCTCGCCTGCCAATGGTATTTCCCACTATCCTCCCAACGTGAAGCAGAAAACTTCCTCCTTTTAAAAGACTGAGAGTTATGAGACTTGATGGTGTTCAAAGTATCAGTCCTCGCATAAATAGACCTGTTAACCTGCTCTTTATACTGCCCTGAGAATTCAAAATGGTTGCAATAGCCATTATCATAATAATTGCTCCTACTTGTCATTTGATGATGGTCTTTGAAATCATATCTATTCAAAGTGGCCCAGTACTCATCGTAAGTCATCCCTCCTTGATAACTGAAATTCCGAACACGAGACATTCTTCCTGAACAAAATAACAGCCACCCGAAGTCAAAAAAAAAAGGTAAGGAAAAATATGAGATAAAAGAATATCAGAGTTCAGCTTCAACGTATATTAGGACCAGATAATTTCACAGAAAACACCCTAACTAAAATTTTTCAAATTCTGCATAGTATTCAAAGTTGAAAGTGTCGATCATTC